CACTTTTAACAAGAGTGGGTTAGTTAAGTAATGATCTTGCACCAGAACATGGTCTTGCTGATCAAACAAACAGTGGTGCTCTCTTTTTTTTCTTTTTTCTCTTTGCATATTTGCCCACCCAGTTTTATTATTCTCATCTTAAATGCTTGTTTCATTATCACTGTGTATACGTGATTTGGTTTCTGAGAGGTGTTCCAAGGGTCTCGCTATGGAAGGTTTAACTCTGCAGTGAGATAGAAAGAGGCCAGGACTAATTTACTGAATGTGCACAGGAATTAATATAGCTTGGGAACGGGCTGAGCCATGCACAGGCAGCTTGATGTGACTTCTCTGTGGCTTATTTAGGTATGAGCTATTGAATTTTTCTTCTGTCTGTGAGGTACATCAATTGCACCAACACTTACCTAGGTATTTTTATGAATAAAGGTGTCAGTCCTCACGTAACTCACTACAGTGGAGTAAGCGCTGGATTCAAAGCATACACTGGTACTTCGAGTTAGGCTGGGAGAGACGGCAGAGGGGGATAGAAGTCCAACAACAAGCAGAGGAAAGCAGAGAGCACGAGTAATGCTGTGGAATATTATAAGGAAATACTAGCTACAATAAGAGAAGTAAAAGGCCTTGATTTCTGCCGGCACTTCCTTTGGGTTTGGGTCCTAAACGGACAGAAGCTGCTAACTGCTCTTTGAAAGGACTGACTAACAGGCATGCCTTCTCGCCAGTTACCTGAAATTACAAAACAGTGTTTTGCAAGGTAGGAGTGATGCTTTCACAATGCCTGGAACAAAGTCTCCCCTCTGCAATACAACAGATACTGGTGTCAGTGTGAGCGCCCGGAGTTAGCCATGCTCAGCTTTAAATGCCCTAGCCTGACTGCACATCCTCTCATCTCTCCTGTCCATCTTAGAGAGACAGCCTATTTGCGTCCGAAAGAAGGCTTGAATTGACAGTAAAGCTACGCAACCAATCCACGGGATGTTACTGGTGTTGGTAAATGCTAATTATATACTGGGTAATCGTACTAGAAAACATGTTGGAACAGCTTTCAAACTGCTCGTGCTATTTTTAGTAAAACTCGGCTATATTTACTTTGCAGTCAGTTACTGGCACTGTAGCTACCGCTTTCTGCTATATTTATAGATAAAAAATGTAGTGAAGGTAATGGGTCAGGCCATGCGCTCTCAACAAGAGGCTAATCCCAAACTGGCCCATGTTCTCCCTGTGCAATGTGGGCAGGAGATCACAGTGTGGTCGCTGCCCCGTTTCTCCCTCAGGCGGGTGTGCATAACTAACCAGAGGCCAGAGCTCTTGCTCCAACGTGGAGTTTGGAACACTTGCATGCCTTAATATGCCTAGGAATTCCACAGATAAGTAAAAGACCCTGTAACACAACTGCGAGGGAGAGAAAAATCTTTTCAGTAGCATTGATGCCACTGAGATGAGATACAGATTTTAAGGCCTGAATCTACTGTACCGTTCCCAAAGGTGTTTCCCTCAGTGCTGCTTGATCAGCCAAGGCTTGGCAAGTAATTTAGACTTTGTAGGAATTTTACATCTATTTCTAAAACAGTTTAACTGCATTGTGCCTATGAGAATATCCTTTCAGGAATGGAAATTACTTTGATATGCTCCCTGAATAATAATTTCTTACAATAATCCTGTGATCGTCCAACTGAGATGATGATACTTGCAAATAGGAAATCATTAGTTACTGTGCAAACTGACGTGCTGTCAGCACTGCGGACCGTTTGTTGCGTATGTGTAGGCTCACTGCTGCTGGCTCAAACCTGAGCCCCAAACTACCTTGTTGCTTTGAAACTGCTGCTCTTCTAGGGCCACCTTAAATGTCCCTCATTTCATACATCCCAACTAAGCATGGCTGTTTACCACTCATTGCAAATAGGGAGTTTCTTCCCACTCTGCATTTTAAATAAATGACAATGCATTTACATCCCTATTATTTATTTGAATGCTACGATTTAAGAGCCTAAATGCAAGTTTTTCCCTTTATTTCTGCAAGTAGCACTGCAATCATAACTTACAAAAAATGTTTAAAATACAAAATGTACATGAAATTACAATACAAGGCTCTGTAAACATCTAGAACTTAATCTTTATTGTCCCACATTTTTAAATATAAAACTTCAATTTGAACAATTTCTGAACCTCAAGGAATGACATCCATTGTGAGTATCAAAAATAGAGTTTCAAAGCTTTGTTTGTATCAGAACAAAACTCTCATGTTATTTTCATTCTTTGGTTTAAAAAGGATGGCAGTTCCCCCGATAACATGGAAGTTTTACTACAGGAATTCAGATTGCTAGTTTGTGGTAATTTCAGAAATCATCCCTCCTTCCTCCCGGATTAATATAGTATTCCTTAATTTTTTGTTTTTAACATTGATCTTTGACCCTCTTTTTAGAAAAGTTACCTCATCATTAAGGCTTTCCTTCAGGATAATCAAAATTATTAAAAAGTTTTGGAAAAGTACTCGGGGAGAAGAGAGGACTTAAGGGCAAGGAAGCGGATGCCAACAGTTGCCAGGTTCTGTTGTTTAATTAAATTTGCATAGTCCAATAGAGATTGTGTGCTTTTTATATCACTAAAATTATACAAGATTAACAGTCTTTACCTACGTTATCACACAAGCTAAAATAAAATTAAGACCCTTGTACTGAAGCTTTTACAAGGCAAATACAAAACTGCTTTAGTATCCAAAGCTATATATATATTTTTTTTTAATTTCATTTTTAAATAGGAAAGCGTCTCTATGTCTACAGGCATCAAGGTATTTAAAGGCATCAGAAAATTTAGTGCATAGCAACTCCGGATTGTTTGGGCTCCTATACTTTAGGTACAGTGCGAATTCCAGCTACTTGGAGAACTTGCAAGGAGAGTCTGTACCAGTAGGATAAAGGAGCATAAATCCCATACAGACTGAAAAGCTTTGAAGTTAGACTTCTACAAACAATGGTTAATGCAAAAGACCCAATACACGAATGAGAACTGGAACGTGCCTTGCCACCAGCACACAGTCTGAGGACAATTACATAGTTTACAGCATTGTGTGGGGGGTTTGGGGTTGTTTCGGTTTGGGTTTTTTTTAGGTGTTAAAAACGTAAGTAGATGTATTTCTGAGCGTGTGAATCCTTTTGTAGGATCTTTTAACGTACATGAGTAGAGGACAGAGTAAAGCACCATCGCCGAGGGACAATGACAATACCACACTCTTCAGATTACAGCCCTGACAGTTTTTTTTCTGCAAATGTAAAAGATTTGCACCATTGAACAGTACATTCACAAAAAGGATGCTTAAGATTCCCAGCACGCATATAGTGGCCTCGAATTAAGTTGTCTGAACTAACTATGAAGCACCAAGGTAGTAGCCTTAGGCTGTACTTTTACAAGGAAGTACACGATAGAGTTGTAATTTCACCTGCTTAATGTATGGTCTTTCTAAAAGATCATGATTCAGCTATTACAAAGATGGGATTATAACTACTTTAATAGTATTGCTTGGGTGCCAACTTAAATTTAGGTGTAGTACTTTGTCTGCAAAAGGCTCAATGGAAAGTTTTCCCCATGACTGTCTGCCAAAATGCACCATCAGTAGAATCTGTGTTTACTCTTACAGGTGCCACAGTTCCGTGGTGCTATCCCCTTTAAGACCATTTTACTGTGATGTTAAGAGTCTCCAGGAACTCTCTACAGAGAGGGCCACGTGTTCCACATGTGGTAAACCTTCAAAATGTCCACAATTGCCTGAACTAGTTTCAATGCAAATACACTTTCTGTATTTCACAATTTTTGACTGTATTTGCTCTTAATTTTCGTTAGAGCATCGTGGCTCACCCAAATGAGGAACTAAAACTAACATCTCAAATGTTTTGATGTTCAGTGTATTTCATATCTTACTTTGCTGTGAATGTTGTACCCTGTATGTTCCACATCAGAAAGCTTTGTAAACGACAATGTCTTCTGGGGGAGGGAGATGTTTGTGCCCAAGACAGGCAGTTTCGGATCCTCTCCTAAGTTTCTAATCATAGAGGCCTGAGGTTTTTAATAACTACGTAAACAGATTGTTCCAAATGTATCAGATTATGTGGGCAAGGGAAGCGCATCCTTGGAGCACATCTTGTATATTTCTTTGGTAGCTTCTGCTTCACGTTTACAATGAAACATGGGCAAATCATACTACCTAATCGCTAATCCACAGTAAGTTTCTTTTTAGCAAACTGACATTTACGGACAGCTTAAATTTAAGGAACTGTCATTGCCATCTCCTTAGGACTTCCAAGTGGCATGGTCAGGCATACAGCGTATAAAAGATACGGATGTGATCAAACGATTTATTGCATGGAAAACTGGAGTGCCACTGGACTGGTGATTTCAAAACCATATTCTGCAGGGATAACAGGAACACTTAGATCCTCAGCAAATATTAAAATGTCTCTGTATCTAACATGGCTTTGATGTTGCTGCTCTTTAATCTAAAATCCTACTGCTCAAATCTGATTACAAATGTAACTTCCTAAGAAAAAGCTATTTCAAGAAGGAGCCTGTGCTAATAAAGAACAGGAAGATTATCCACAAAGTTACAAAAGTTAAATTTTGGAATGTCATTTCTATCCCAACACTTTCATGATGGAATGGTCTTTTTGCAGCCTATCAAGTAACATTTTCAGTTTATAAACAAGTGCAGATCTACATTTGGCTTTGCTTCCTATGAATCTAAGAAAGAAAATGCTACAGTATTTGTATACACAATGGCTTCCGTGGCATTGGCTTCAGATGACAGGTACGATTTGCCACTGGAAGATCGTATCTTAAAAAAAAATTAAACAATAGAAGCTTTAAAGGCTTTCCAAAATGACCCAAAGATGTTACAAATCATCAGTTACAAACTATACTATCGCTAAGGGAAAGCAGCACACTGAAGATGTGTATTAAATCTTTTCCGACATTCAGTACTGTGAATATTATAAGAGAAAACTAACATCTCCACACATCTGATGCACTTACAATATAAAAGTATTCTATTTAAATGCAAAAAGCGAAGCTTGTTTGTAGCTTTAAAACAGTTAAAATAACTGGTGTAGATTCTGTGTGTCCATTTTCAGAAGTCTCTTTACAGCATCTGAGGAACTATAATTAAAATGCTCTGTCTCTACATCAAAAATGTAACCCGCTAAATGGGCTTTGCAAGGATCCGCTGTTCCAGTTCATAAAGGCCACAGAATTGGAAGCACAGTAAGTCTAAAGAGGAAGAGGATGAAGAAGGATGCAGAAAAATAGTGAAGTTTTCATGGACGTTCAGTTGTGAGCTTATCTGTTACTGGATTCCATCAGATATTCCTGTCTCCAGAGATCCAGGACATGTACGTGCAGACTGGCTGGCCACTGTTGTTCCATGTGACACTGAGATCTGAGACATATCTCTTCCTATGATCTCATTCACTAAAAAAAAAAACAAACAAAAAAACCAAACCAAACGTTAAAAAAGTGACTTTTTTATGCTTTCCAAAAGGCAGAACTCATCAGCATATCCCTTTTAAAGAGAAGTACTTCAGTGCTAACCCTTGATGCAGTTAAGTAACAGAGGATGAGTGAGGAACCTCACTTCAGTAGCAGTTGAGCAAGAGGCAAGGAAAAAAAAAAAAGTCCTGTTTTCTCTTAGTATTGCACTTTACTTACCATAATCCATGTTGGAGAATCCCTAAAACACTTGAAGAAAATGAGCACATACATACTGATGACAACGAGGTAAGGGAAAGGCACAGCATAGGTCAGTTTAGAACAGATTTCCCCACAGACCTCCTTCTGTTCAAGAGTGTCACAGGCGCACCAAGTAACTCTTAGTAACTCTTTGCTCTTTCAAGCTACTTACAGAACTTCCTCAGAACGTGGATTAGGGTTGGTAGAATATTCTTTTTAACACTGTATACCTGTTTAATTGGCCAGTTTTCTCTATACTTGCATTTCTGAAACTGCAGTAACAAAATCTTCCTTAGTTATCAGTCAGCCTTTCGATAGTGAAGCATTCAGATGGGCTAATACGTGGGTCACGTCTGATCGTGTGTCTGTGTGGGCGTCAAATTCCGCAAAGAAGTCAGCTATTACTAGTTACAAGTGAGGGACACCACTGTGAATACGACAAAGTAGCTCTTAGATTATCAGCAAATGACAATTTTGAGGTGTTACTCTAAAGCCTAGATAATTGATTGTAGTACAATTGCATTTGGAAGATGACAAAAATAATTATTTTAATGGATAAGTGTAAATGTGGTGATATAAATGTCCATTTTACAAAATGGGCAATGGTAAGTTTAACTAAGAAAACTGAGTAATATTCTAAGTGGAGATGAAAAATATCACATTAAATACTAACAATTTTTAGATAACTTACATTTTGGTTATCATCTAATATTTATTACTTAATAGAAGAGGCAGTCAGATCTGTTGTTTTCCACAACTGAGTGGCAATAGGTACACAGCGTCTCTTATTCAGCAAGACTGAATATGCTGAATTATAGTAATAAAAGCGTCTGACATGAGTTCGGGGGTTCTATAAACAGACATTTAATGTGATCCTTTTGCTGAGTAAGGACCATTCATAGTAAAAATAAGAACTCTTTTTGTTTTGCTAGTAAGCTGCTTCTATTGAAAATCTTAACAGACTTGGAACTGAGCCTTTTGCACTTTCACTCTCCAGTGGGTAACTTCACAGAGCAGTAATGAGAGACATCACCACCCTTCATGCATCCTTAATTTTCCATGGCAGGATTTAGCTTCCTACTAACCATTCCTGTCTAGTAGAAGCATAATCAAATCAATCTACAGATAGTATAAATTGCTTTTTATGTTTATAGAGTGTTCCACAGTCCGAGCATTGCCTTTTGCTGCTGCAGCAGCATAAGTGGGTTTGAAGGAAAATGTAGTGATACTGCGGATGCTCTGAAGTACATATAATGTATATAAAATCCAATTCTGAACACAAGTTTTGTCTGTATTCTTTTAGTTTACTTAGGAAAGCTTTAAAATTACCTTATGTCATATACCTGTATGTAGCCAGGGAGGAGGTAGTTGTTATCTGAAAGTCCATCAATGGCAACAGTATTCACTTGCACGAAGGCAAGGACAGCTTGTTAAAAATACACAGTATTGCAGCCCAAAGGTTAAAACCGGTCAGCTGAGCTATGTAATAACCAATTCCCTCGAGTGTTGCAAGACTTGCAATTTATTTGGATTCAAAATTTTTCATACAATGAACTTAACTGGCACTATGACACCAAAAATCGTGTGACTGCAGGTAGGATACTTTTTCAAGTATTTTTATTATACCAACACAATGCATAAGTAAACAGCTGTTAAAAAAAACAAGACTACTTTTTTTAAACCAAATTTAGATGTTCACTTGTAAGAACTCTACTCCATCAGTTTCTGCCAGGCGCTCACTGGCTTGCCCTAACTACAGGACCTTGAACAGCCATTGTCTGCGGAGCGCTACCCAGCAGTTGCTTTGTGCAAATCAAATAGTGCAGCTGCTCAGTGCTACTAAAACTTTGATGAGCGGTACAACAAAAAGCAGCACAGCTAAATACCTGTGACATTTTGAGATTATCAGACAGTTACTTCCTTGAAGTTTTGACAGATGATACGTACGTGTACTGGCAACATCAGAACAGACTGGTCTATGCTCTTGCAACGTTTTGTAGTTCCCACAGGCCAGGGTGTTTAACTCAACAGCATGTAGCCATGTGGCATTACATTTTCCTTAAATCACCTTACACTGTGAACACAATAGCTGGCCACATGGGATTTTATTTGCCAAAGTTCTGCATAATTCGTTATGTAGAGTATTAAAGTTACAGGTCAGTTTGTGTTAGGTTTGTGTGTTGTTGGGTTTTTTTGTTTGTTTGGTTTTTTTTTTGTTTTTTTTTATAAATCATTGATTTGTTTACAAGAAACTGTTTTATGGCTCAGTGAGATAGCTCTGTCATGCCTTTCACTTTGCTGTGGGAGAAGTATTTTTGGCAACATTTTTAGCATGTGACCAATACAGATTTATCTGGTTCATATGGATTTACATTGGAAACATCTACTTATCTCCTTCCCAACAGAAATTTCTAGTGGAGTAGTTTTACTTGCCACAGTAATTTTGTTAGGATTGCTAACTTTTAAACCCAACCAGTATTCAAATGTGCTTTTTTTTTTCTTAAAGAAGAGGTATCTAAATCGGTGTTCTGTCAGAGCACCATGCAGGCCTAAATAAAAGGCCAGAATCCTTTTTCTGTGATGTCTGGCAAAGACATGTTTTTGCTTTTTCACAGACCATAGTCTCCTAACACATCCTCCTATTTTACACTTTCCAAGAGTGCCTGTTTTAGCTCTCTGGAAATCTGTAAGAAACAAATGGTCGGGGGATGCCTGCAGACTCTGGAAGACTATATGTTGATTTAGATTATTTACAGATGCTGGTAAAAGTGCTTCGAAGCCAGCGCAGCCTGCAGAAGCCAGCAGCTGAGATCAAAGTGCTCTGGCCCTCTGTGGTGCAGTAGTCTGGCTGCCAGGTTTGAGTGATGTGGTGACAGGCTCAGGGAGGAGGCAGGGGCCCGCTGCCTGCCTGGCTGTGCCCAGCACGCTTGTGAGCAGAGGAAGGGATCAGTGGGGACAGGGGAAGTACCCATCCAGCATGCAGGCTAGCAGATGGAGGCAGGGGCATTCAGACCAGGAAAGCAGCTTTTCTAGAGAAGGCAGCTCTTAAAGCCTGAAAAAAACATTGTAAAGAAGCCACACTGAATATTCACCAAAACTAGGCAGCCTGGAAGTCCTTTGGAAGAGCTTACTGAAGAGTCATACAGCTCTGCTTTAAGGCAGCAAATAATGAGATGCCTGCATGTATCTAAATTGGGAAGCATTTGGCTTTATATGAAGGACGTCCTGTGTTCACCAGCGTTATCATAATTAACTTGTCTCTGACAGTGGAAAGGTATAAATTAAAGAAGTTTAGAATGTAAATCATGTAGTCAGTAAGAAGAGTTAAAATCCTGCATAGAAATGTACAAGACTGTAGGTGAAATCATATGATGTTTTCTTTTCTGTATTAATTTGTGATGGAGAAAATTAGGTTAGATTAAACACTAAAAGAGAAATCCCAAGGTTAATATTCGAATGCATGACACAGCAACTTCTTCCACACATGTCAACCACAGAACCTTTAGTAGTCTGTGATAAAACAGAAAAACTTTATTCATGCGCATGAACACAGGTTTTCTGTAATGTTGTCTAGCAACATCCAAGTCCTTGAGTGGCAAATTGGGAGAGGAAGAAGTCAATTTTGACAGCCCTGAGAAGGGACAGAGCTCAGGCTATATGGATGATGCGTTATAAACAAAAGAAAACTTCTTTTCTGTACTTCAGAAGAACACTTTATCCTGCTTTTGCTACTTTCAACTATGGGGTGCGAGGTCCTAGAAAAATAGCTAGAAAGGTTTCATGTGCTCTTTCACTTAACCTTAAAAGCCATCCAGTTAGCAACCAGATACTGGGAAACCAAGGTATACATGGTGCTTTTACTACATGCACTTATTTTTTATAAAACTTCCTTTCTTTCTTCAGCACAATTTCTAGGGGAAGGCTGCAGAGCTTGTTCAGAGATTCAGTAATACAGATCTTGAGTATGTTGTTAAGGTCCTCTATGGTCTGGCTGCCAGGTTCATTTGTGTTGTGTAGTTTATACTTGGCGCCTCTTTGAAGAGAGCCAATCTCATGAGACTTAAGATGGAGGTGAACAGTTAGGTGAGTAGGACCATGACTCTTTCTAGTACCTTCTTCCCTGCCCACCCCCTCCCCCAATTAAATCACTCTCTGTTTGGTATGTTTGGTGCCAGGTGTTCTAACTGCTAATCCCATACCCTAGACTTCTGCTGTCAAGAGATGAGGAACCAGAAATATTTTTAAGTACTAAATAATTAGAGATCTAGCTAATATTTAGTACTCACTTAGTACCTCCTGATCATCTAAAATAGTTTTGGATGATCAGTGTCAATTGAGTGGATAACATCAAAAATGTTATCAAATGTTTTATGTGCTAACAATCCAGGTTGCTAATCCTGACATAATGATGGATCAGATCAAAACAGAAAGGGGAGGCACACACTACGCTGTACAGAAATGTGGCAAGTTCCTCCACTACAAGAGCGGTAACCGCATTTTGAAAATTTGTGTCAGATATGGCGTGGATCAAAATGCAGTACAGCTTTTTTTTTTTTTTTTAAAAAAATCAGGCTGTGAAATGGCAATGATTTTAACAACTTTCCTATGTCTGTTTAATTGACCTCTATCGCAGTTATTCCAGATATCAGAATTTCAGCTGTCACCTTATTTGCAATAGCTTCACCTTTTTCTTTCCTAGTATTTACACATAGTGTAAGCTGGCTGGTAAATTTATACTAATAGCTGAAAACAGATTTTGCAGAACACAATTTAACATGGGAGGGAGAAAACCTTCTGCTACAGACAGGTTAGACTTGACCTGGCGATACTGTAGTACTGTATTGCAAATTTTTTTGTGGTTTGGTTTTTGATGTGTTTTGTTTTCTTCTTCCCCTTCTGTGCAGCATAGAAAAAGCAAGAACATGCATTGAAAAAACACTGTAAGTCATCTGGACGCTCAAGCCCCTGTAAACTTTCAAAAAAATTAAGTAGCATACTAACATCAGTACTGGTGGGACAGAGTAGAAGGTAACTGGCTCTGACTCCTGGATCTGTTGTCAAGCTTGTAAAACAAAAGCAACCACATATTCTGTTTTATTGAGTTGTTCCCACTGTTTTGATTGCACACAGTGTTCCACTTGCTTTTTTAAGTCCCTACTGACTGCACACATGAAAGACAGCTGAGCCACTGAGAGTGACAGAAAACTGGGCCACAGCTCCTTGGAGGCCTCTTCTCCCTCCCCCTGCCCTTATCTTTTAGGCTGAGGGCTTTGCCTCTTGGTCACTGAAGATTTGCAGTGGGACAGCTGATAAAATTATTGCTCCAGCTGTTTGCTGCGTGAACAGACAGACTGTTGATGAAGATCTCTTAAAACTATTGCAACTTGCAATCCAGAGTTTTAAGATAAACTAAAATTAGTTTGAACAGCTCAGCCATTTGTGCAGTGAGTGACACGTACAGCCAGGGGCAGTAATCTTCTCAGCTGTTCCACTGGAGATGCATCCTGCAAGCAGTATTGACCAGCCTCTCAGGGGAAATTCTCACCTACACAAAGCTGATTGAACAGAACAAAGCTCTTGTGTTCTGCAGCATGACAACATTAGGAAAGCCAGTGCTTTTAATGATAAGTTGCTGAGTGTTTTGGATAAATTAAAAGGAAATTACAAATTCAGAGTAACAAGTTCTTAAAAGAGGAACTGGTGCTTTGATATGTTTGTAAGATCTATGCTTTTTTCCCTACTGGTTTGTTTAATCAATTCTACAGTGTCCCCTTAATTTATTCTCTTAGTGTGGGACCAATCCATACTTTGTCAGTCAACTTGTATAGCTGTGCCACCTTACTAACAGTTTACATTAGAAGAAGACTGCATTTAGGTGTAGCATGATCTCTTAAGACGGGTGAAGTTCTAACATCGTAAAGGCATTTTCTTTTTAAATCAAATGCCAACCAAATACTAGCATGCTTCTAAACTGCTCTGTACTTAATTCACCCCCTCTGTAAATGCTGAGAGACAAATATTTCATACTGAAGCACAAAGGAAAATAGAAAGGCCTTTAGGTTCAGGAAGTGCTTCTGGGAACAGTGCAAGTGACCTCTTTTCCTTTGCAATCTTTGGTATCTTTCCTTTGGTAATCTATAATCAGCATCTGTACTTTCTACAGGACAAGAGAATCTCTCTATTAGGCAGTTACCAAGCATTTTAGGTTTCTGTAGGTCAAAAACACTGCTTGAAAACCTCCATAGAGAACTACAAGCAAACAGGTCAGATTACAAACCATTAGATATGTAATGGGCAGTAGTAGAAATCCAGGGAAAACACATCGTGATGCTTCCCCAGGATGTTCTACCAGCCTCCAAAATGTGTTTGTGCTAAGGAATTCCTGAGCCAGAGACAGTATCTGTTGTGCTGAATGGTCCCATTTGGATTTTTCTCCCTGGGTTCTTTAAGGTCTGTGCAAAGTTCTGTCATCTGCAACATTCTGAGACAGTAAGTTCCAAAGCTTAACTGCGTGGAGCTGTAGCAATGCTTTTTTATACGTTGAACTTACTGAATGATTACTTGGTGGTTACTTAGTATTTTCTCTCCCAAGAAGTATTTTTCATTACCTTTTCCATGCCACCTATTCATTTTATTATACTTAGCATATACTCCTCATTCATTTTTCTGGCTGGAGAGTCCTAGCGGATTCAGATAACTTCTGTTCCAAATCTTTAGTCATGCTAGTTGTCCTTAACCAAAATACCCCGCAAAACAACAGGTATGCACCTAATTCTTTTATGACATCGAGGACAAGATGTGGGCACATACTAGATTATATAGTGGCATTTGTTCATTCTTTGCTGGTTTCCTAAATATTCTTAGCATTTATTCATGCTTTTAAAAGTACTTTTAATGCTACTGAGCAAGTTTTCACAGAATTGCCTATTTTAAATTCAAGACGGCTTTAAGTGAGAATAATACAGAGAGCTTGTCACTGTATGCACAGAATTAGGGCAGGTTTGGTTTTCTTCCCCTTCCCTTACCCCAGTTCCCATTCCCTTAACTGACTGATTTTCTTTTAATCACAGGGTCTTCCTGTGGAGGGTTCTAGACAGTTTTTGTTTTCCACTACTCTGAGTAGCTGAGCAGCAGCAATGTCACATTTACCAACTTCCAGTCCCCTGGCTCCAAATTAGATTTAAGCAAGAGGTTATATGTTACAGTCAATAGTTCAACTGTTGCTCTTTCAGAGCTGTCATCTGGCACGTTATCCAGATTGTCACTGTCTGTTTATCAGTTTTACTGACACTTCAACTTAAGACAGGTCTTGCAACACATCCCTTTTTCAAAGGATTTTGGCACAAGACACTCTAGTTCCTCACTGTGAACATCAATATAAAAACCTTTCTAAGTTCATTTATCTAACTTTGACTGAATTCCTGATTTGCCATCTGTTGGCCAGGTTTCACATTTCGCCTAATACTTTTCATGTTTTTTTCTGTTTTCTGCATTTGGAAGCAGCTTGTAGTCTCTCTCACTGCAGAGAACTCATACATTTAATCTGAACCTTCATAAATAGTTTGTATACTGCTTGCAACTATTTTATCATTTTGACCACCTATGTTTTACTTAAGTTTTATTGTTTTCCTACAAAAGAAAGATAATTTTTTTTTTTTTTGAATCAGTTCCTTTGTACCAAACTGAGCAATGTTTCCCCTTGTGGGTTGTGACTTGGTGCTCCAGGAAGCACTCATCACACTTACCCGTTCTATAAAGGATGACTCAAGTATTCCATCAGTCTACTTCCTGCCTGTGCAGATTGTCTGATCTCCTGTAGCACAAGAGGGTTAGGGTCGCTCTCCCGTTCAGCAGCATAATTCAGAAGCTATACTCTTCCTAAGACAAGCCTGAAGGTTAAATCTGTAAGCATTCTGTACTGCTAGTTGATACAGTTAGCTTGCCTGATTGGACATTAAGTATTCTTCAAGGTACAGAACCATTCTACTAACTTTCCCGTGTAAATCTCTCTTGCATGAGTACCATGCTGACTATGTTTCTTGCACAAAATACCCATTATTTCAATTTTTAAAAATGTCATGTTTCTCAATTGTATTTCTTGGATGCTAGCATTTGTGTCCAAGCATGTTTCTCCCTGGGTCTTGTTTTCTGTTTGCGTGTGCGCCTTTTAAAAGGAATCTGTTGGCTTGTGTTTCAGAATTCTAAGTTCGGGGCTTGCCAACCTGTGTGTCACACTTCCATTGATGATACTGGTATTTGGGGGTTATTTTATTATTAAATTGAGTTTTCATTTTTCAAGAACTCCTACTCTTCAACAATTATTCTGCACCTACTAGATGCTGAGGTGCACAGGATGTAGTCTAGAACACAGAAATAATCTAAGCCACAACTCTTATTTTACTAACTGATTTGCTGTTTCAAGATACAGAAGTTTCAACTTCACGTAGAGAGTCCTTCCTCTAGTTTCACCATTCTGAACAGTAGCTACTTACCTTACTAGTAACGTTTTGGTATGTAAGGAAAGCAGAACCAAATCATTTCTTTGAAAGATGCTAAAAGACCAACATTGTGATTTATTGTTGTTTCGTGGGCAAACTTCAGATCTGTCACCAGGCTAATTGTGTGCAAGTTTTATTAAGGCTATTCACAGAGCTTGGTTATTTTATTTTTAACAATCTCAAAGCTACTGTACACTTACCCTTTCAAAATCTATGGGGAAAGTAAAATGTGTTCTATCTGTGTGTTTATATATATGTGTGTGTGTATATACATGTAAAAAAGGGACAGTATATTTCTTTGTTATTTTAGGCATGTTTGTAATAAAATGAAAACACTTAAGAAAAATGAGTGTAAACACAAACATGACCAATATACCACGCGTTAATTTCTAACATTGTTACTATTTAAGAGAGTCATAGTGCATAATTATCTTGTTTATATGTGGAATAAAGAAGCTGAAAGCATCTTATAATATTTATGAATCTGTATTCCTAATTCTTAGATTGATAGTGTATGCCACTGTATTCTATCTATTTAAGTTGACATTGCTTCATCTTTTTAAAAAAAGAAGAAACATTTAAATTTCTCCTAGTTAACTGATCTGGCCACTCTACAACTTTGCCCATATTTGGCTTAAGATTTTCATATCCTCTTCTGTTGTTTTACTAGATCCTACAGCACTCAGGAAGTTCTGTGGCAGCTATATATACTTTAAGTGGAGGTTTTTACTGAATGAGTGTACACCTGGCTCACAACTTCTGAATATCCAACTATTTCAGAATACACAGGTGTCCAGTTATAGCAATACTTCAGTAACATAGCGCTTTTCACTGGTAGATGTTAAGACTGTTAAAACACTTTCCCCTTTCCTTCGTGCTCCAATTTCAAACATTGAAGCATTTCAGTAAGCAGACTCACCCTCTAGATTTTCCACATAGGAGTTGGACATGAGTGCTGAATGTTGAGTCCATTTCTCTGTTGAACCTGATGGCTGGTATTCCAGGTCAGAGATAAAACTGTCTGTGTCAGAGAAGAAGACAGACATAACTACTGACTGGACTAAACCAAGAAGTTACAGTTCACTCAACCAGGAAGTGACTTTCAGTTTTCTTTGAATAGCACTAACTTTAAATACCCAGTTTCATTCACAACTACTACATATGTTGACATAAGTAACTATTTATAAATTATCAGAGTGCCTATTAAATACAATATCAGTTATCTTGTATATTTAGTTACTTTTCAGTTAGCAGCCAGAGTCATAAAGGTAATGGTTAATATTTCTGGATGTCTGCCTAGTTGCATCATCATAATTTTATACTGCATAAGTTTCATTTTAGTATTTGTGTTAGTTTAGAGCATTCCTCCTACAACTGTCTCAATCTGCTCTACTAACTGTGGTCAAATTAAAAGTGCTTATGCCACTTGACAGCACCTCCACTGAACAAGGTAGGCAAAAGAGAACTAGTAAATAAAAGGTTTATTTTTATTTTTCCTGTCCTTTGGACAAAGGAAACTGTTGCTGTAAACAGCTGTTAGCTGCCCCGTTACTTGTTGGACTTATTTGCATGTTTTGGCCAAGGTACTGACTGATCTGCAGTCAGGCCACACAGTTTGAAGTGTCAGAAAACAAAGTATTATCGGTGCAGGTGGCTCTGTCAGACCAAGGCAATGTGAGAAGCCAAGGAGGAAGTGGAGAACTGTATTGCACTGAACTGTCATTCCTGGAGGAGACATGAATGTAGAATAGTCTATTTATTACTTTAATCAATAACAGGTATGTGTTTATCCAGTTGTGATTAGTGACTATGCATTACAACAGCATACTGGGTTGGGTTTGGGTTTTTATTTCCTGCCCAAGACAGAGCTGCAAGTTTGGTAAATTAGGCTTTAATATAATTAACAAAATTACTCTGGAAAGTGGCCAATTTGTGCCTTTTGGATAGAGCCATGCATTTACTTTGCAGCATGATTTCTAAGCCCTGCTTAAGGATGTCTCCTGGGAGAATGAAGAGTCTATTCTTACTTCCTCCTGAAATTCAAGCAGTTCAAATTACTTCTTTGGATGACTTCTTATGCTTAATTGTTTAAAGTTTAAAGTTACATGTATTTAAACATGAAGTGAAAAGCATTATCTGGGTTTCAATGAAAATGTCCACTGCCATGTTGAAGGGAAGGAATAGATCGACAAATTCTTGTCAAATAATAGGAGATTAAGAAAAGAACATTTTCCCCACCAACTATGGTAGAACCAGAAAGAAAGTGACATTTAAATAAAGACCTAATGAATCCAGGGAGATGGGCAGAAAACTACGTTGGGATGAAACAAATTAACTTTTACTGGCAATCCTCTTCAAAGCTCAGGCTTTCAAAGGAGCAGACAACAAACATGCTGACAAAAAGCCTCCAGAGAGAACAGAGAAGTTAATTAGCTCTTTTAAGCAACACTCTCTGCACCATAAAGTCTACATAGCTTCTACAATGAGGATTTTCTGTCACTTTAGTAGAGAAATATGATTCTGATAATTTTTCTAATTAATTTCATGCATAGAGGGATTCTGAGTTTCTTATGTGTTCTAACAAAGCTGCTGACAGTATTGAGTTTTTGCTTTTATAAACCCCTGACAAAACGTGTCATGCGTAGCACATGTAACAGGTCTCCAGCCAGCACCTTCTGGAATGAAGCATGCACTTGCCCTGGGCACACAATATGTGATGTTTGTGGAACGTGGTAAATATGCTGTATTACACACTTGAAAAGGCTGTTGCTTTCAAGACTTTGTTCAACGCACACTGAAGTTAGATAAAACTTGAGGTACCAGATAAATATACATTAAAAATGCCTTTTTACCTCATAATTTAATAAACATTTGAGAAAGACTTTTACTTTCTTAAGCAATTCTAAAATGAGTTTTGTACCGAAAGAATATAACACTAAAACTACTAAATTGAAATAGAGATCAAGAAACCTGACATCCTGTAGTGCTATCTATTTAACTGACCAAAAAGTCATACTTTTATGAACTACCTCTTTGTCTTGGGCTCCTCCATTAAGTAAAGAAAGGTTAAGAAAAACTTTAAATCTTCCATTATCTGCACCAGATTTAGGTCCACGCAGCAAGTCGACTTAAAATTATTGTTCTATTACAGGTACAGGCAGACCAAAAAGCTACTGGCAGTATACCATTTGGCTTTCAGGATCTCTTCCTACAGGAGTCAAGCAACTTCATTTTTTGTAGCACGGTCTGATTAAAAGTTTAGCCTGTATATCCTTTACTACTACTGAACTGAAGTAGGATGTGTGGGCAATGGGACTTAAACTAGATGATGTACTGGTTTTAGAAAAGTGATCCCAAAACCTGTTCTAGAATGCATGATTGCTTGCAGTGGCACTACAGTAAGTAGCCCAGAGTAGGGTTTTTCAAGACACTTTGCAAAACCAAGTTTGACATAACTGCATGGCAGATTGTATCATGTGTCTAGGTTTGGTAGCATCCACCTAGGACTGAGTGTGTTTTAGAGGACAGGTGCGTAAATTGCTGTATTTACAGAGGTAACGAGGATCAGTAAACATCAAAGAACATTATGGACAGACAGCAGCACACACCTCCTCGGATATAGGCCTTCTTTTGTCAACTCCACATAGACCTCTTTCAGCTACATTTATGTGATGAATCCCTGCAGCTACGTCCCACTGGTCAGTGCAGTATATTGAGCCTGGTTTTGATTCCACATGACCAACAAGCAGTACAGTGTCATCTTTCTTTAAAAAACAAAAAACAAAAAAAAACCACACAAAAAAACCCCCAAAACCCCAAACCTGCCAGGCTATAATTAACCCTGGAGCAGCCAGCTGATTTGGCTGGTTTGTGATCAAAACCAGTCATATGGCAGCCACACTTGCAGTGGCAGCTATCAAGGACATGGTGGGGTTACCTTGTAAGTTACTATTTCAAGGCATAAGACAGGCTTACTTTTAGTAATTTCAGGTTCAATGCCAACTTTACTAAGTAGCTGGGGTTTTTTTTAACTGATAAAATAAGGCTTTATGAAGTGTTAGGAGTATAGTTTTCCTGTGCACATTATGTTTATAGCTATATAGACAGACTGTGCCTGCAGAGTCACAGCACAAGCTCTGCAGTTACTTGGTACAGTAACAAATAGCCCTGTTCATGTCATGGTTCTGATGTCACACTCTGCATTTACGTATCATAGTGAAACCAGCTCCTTTAAGTCACATGTTTACCTCTTTCTCTCATGCAAGAAGATAGAGATGTCTAACATAGTAAGTATTAAGCGTGAACCTTTGAGCTAGAGGACACATGCTGCGCAGTGGAAAGCAGTGTGAAAGGGTCCAAGCGTAATTTTGCCAGTGTCACAAGGGCATGCCTAACTTCTTCCAGTTCCACTGCTATTGCGAGCATCCGCACTATGGTGCAGACATGCCACTTGCATTCACAGAGTAACCTGTTCTGATTCTTAAATGGGAATCTTTTTGCAGTGGTGCAGCTAGTTGAGCTTACTTTGTGAGTAAGGTGAATTAGTTACAAAGCGTTCTGTGGCTCTCAGAGGCAAATGGGAAGTTTCAAACATTAGCTGGTCACAGATACCTGAGGATTTACCTGAAGTTCTTTACACGTTAGCTGTCTATAACTGGTCTTCTCAACAGATGCCTTGCTGGCACACATTTTATGAACACAATGAATGAATCCACTAGAAGATATGGTCATAGCATCCTTTGACTGTTGACAGCCCCAGATGGATAACATTCCTTTCACCTTTCCTCAGTGTTACAGCATTTTCCTTTTAATCTACTGCTCAGTCTGGATCTTTCTCTATTTCATTCGTAACACCCATTTCTCTTCCACTATGTTTCAGGTTCTGTCTTACCACCTCACTCAACCTCAACATCTCACTGCAAGAGCCCATAAGCTTACAAGAAGAATTAGAATTGTAAACTGCTTTTTATTGCTATCTCCATACTGCTTGACAATATCTATTTAATATACAGAATACCAGGAAATGAGGATTTTGAACACAACCTTACTAAATAATTTGTACTAGTATAATTTTCAGAATGCCTTTTATTAACAGGAGTATTTTGAGTTCTGTGTACAATGTAGGCTAGAGCTCTTGTCACACAAATCCATGTCGGGCATGCTGCAAGATGCAACATTTTGTTCTGGGCTTAGGAGACAGCATAAAAAAAACCTTGAGATGTATATCTCACAAACATTTCAAGTTTGAGTTGCACTGACAGGATGACAGGTTTTTGAGCTGCTCTCCTCCATACTAAGCTAGACTCTAACTTTCAGTACATTTCGTGTTTCTGTAGACCTTCAATGCCCTGTTTGGTGGGATGTTGCCTCAATTAAGAATGACTTGTTAATGCATAAGTCTTCAGAATATAGAGAAATACAAAGTATAGTCATTCTCCAGTAGTTCCCTATTAGTTACTACTGTGATTCTCCAGAACCTTAGCTGAAAGCTACAGTAAAAATCCACCTGTAGAGATGTACAAATCTTGTAGAAAAGATCAGAATAATCTCTGATCTTCCCAGCAGCAGAATTTATCAACTGGAGAAGTATCAGAAAACTATTAAAATGAATGAACACAAATGGAACTATTAAAATGAATGAACGCAAATGGCTTGGAATCCTACATGCAAATGGCTTGGAATCCTACATGGAATGTGTCTGTCAAAGCAAACTTACTGCTTTATGTACCAAGAACAGTTAGAGGATTTCTAGTTATGATTTATAGTAAGTCCACATACTGGATTTTCTAATCTCCATCTGTATGTAATGGAGATGCAGTGAGTAACAAAATGTAAGAGGATTAGTAGAAGGTCATCCTGATTTGCTGAATACAGCCAATCATAATACCTTAAAAATGGTTAAATACAGCTGTACATGTTAGAAATCCCATCGCTGTAGAAAGCCATGAAATTCAAGGTAAACTCACTCCTAAACTGCAAACCACAAGAGATTAAATTTTAGATCAACAGTATTAGAACAGATTTAAATCTAAAACTTGACAGTGGGATAGGTAAACCACTACACTAGGAGCACTTTTTAAAAACAGAGTAGAGGAAAAAAGTTAACCAGGCCTCGTCATATAACTAGGCTGAGTGTAACACTGACGAGGGGTTTGGTGGTGGGTTTTTTTTGTTTGTTTTTGGTTTTGTTTGTTTGTTTGTTTTTTTCAAATGGGGAAGAAATAGGACCTTTATTAGATGGGTATGCAACAGAGCACAGTATGGATGATGGATACCGGAAAGGACAGAAATGACCAACTCCCTGTTTCTTGTCATTTTGGCTGCCTTGTTTACACGTATTTGCAGCCTTAAATATTCCACTGTCTGTACTGGGAAATGTTAGCCTGGGGAGGGGGGCAGAGGGCAGACTTGCTGAAAGATATTGAGGGGAAAAAAGGCCCAACATACCAGGGGGGGTGGATGGAAAAGCAGAGGGGACAAAGAGCAAGAAGCTGCTTTTACCTAATTCCAGTCCAAAAATTTACCAGCTTGTGCAGACTGACTATTGTAAAGAACTAAGCAGAAAATCACTTTTTTCAGAACACCTTTTTAGTAGCATAAAGTACAAGTTACTTTTAAATTGTGTTGTTTCAATTGTTTTCTGTAATATCATTTGAATTTCATATCTAGATCCCCTCATGTGTTTTGATCCCTTGTTTCTTCAGGTGAATTAGAAAGTGCTTCCTGTAGGAAGCAAGGATGGGAAGAGGGGAAGCCAAACAAAAGAGCAAATCCAAGGCGGGGATTAGAAAAGCCTCAAGACATCAATCAGATCCTGTTGAAAAACAGGAAGAGAGACCCACACAACATTCAGTAGGAAAAAAAAAGGGGCAAAAAAAAAAGTAATTTATGCAGACACCCAGGTAAAGGATCTGCCTTTAAATTATGTAATTCTTTTCCCTCATAGTTTGAACAGAGCCCAGCTTGCTCTGACTGGTAAAGGGCAAAGGAATCCAACAAAACTTAATCAGATGGTCCATTCTGGTCATTGGCAAGCACATTCGGCTTTGCAGAGAAGCTGAGTGGTGAATCCCAATGTATTACACCTTCCAGGAGATACTGGATCAAGACTAATCCAGATGCTCTTGGCTTGAGCCAAGATGGATGAAAGCAGCTTTGTAGTTTTGTATTGAGTAATGGATTTGGGTTTTTTTGGTGTGTTTAAGAAAAGCCTGAATGTTGGCTGAAGAAGGCAGTAAGATTTACTTTTAGGAGTCTAGCTTAAAGGCTGCTATCCAGATTACCACTTTGTAGGTGGGGTGGTGGGGGTTTTGTTTGTTTTGTTTTTAAAGAATTTTAAATCCTATTCTGTCAAGCTGAACATTTTAGTAATTCCAGGACTGATTTTGTCATGAGGTAGCACTTCCAGACTACCTTTAAATTTTGTTAAAATGTCTTAAAATATTTTATATTCTTGGCAAAGAAAATATCTGCTATGCTTATTTTGAAACAGTGCATGTTACTTAAAAGATTATTTATGCTGTCAGAGGTTTTTGAGTTTTTTTGTTTACTTTAAGACTACTGACTTAAATATTTAAGGTCAGTAATCCAGACATGATTTATACAAATTTCAATTGGCTTGGCCTTAGTGCTTTATTTTGAGGGTTTTTTGCCTTAATTGGTAACCCTTAAAACCCTATTTTCCAACTAAATATAGCTTTCAGGTTTGGTATCTTAGCTGGGAGAACATACTCCTATCAGCATTCATTTATGTATGCCATTATGTTTGGATTTTTTCATTAATTGTTATAACATTAATGCAGAATAACTGATTTGCTATTTATGTCTAGCTCTATTTGTACTGAAACTAAAATTCAGCTACACACAAAAGAAAATTTTGAAGTTACTTTTTAAACGACAGTAATGTTAGATACATTATAAAAAATGGGTTCCTGTCTAAACATGTTTTTTTATTTAAAGCTGATTAAGCAGAGGAAGTATTTACTTATCTTGGAGAACCAAGCAGCTTGTTTCTTGTCACTATGCCCTTCAAGATTTTTGGAACAGCAGGTTTCAGGCTAGACATCTGATTTGTATTTGCAGATTGGAAATGAAAAAACAACCCAAACCCAGCCCCCCAAGCAATCATTGACTGGCGGTAACATGAAACTGAAATGAAGGTAATCTCTGTGCTTGCAACTGTGTTGTTGCTGCCAAGTGCTAGGCTAGCATTTAAAACCATGTCCAATGAAGGAAGAGTACAATCTAACTGCCAGTTATCAGACCTTCTTTAAACTTCTATAGCAAGCGTTATTTAAGAAAGGACATTATTCAAGCTGTAGCCATTTGACTCGTATGTATATTGATTATCCCTCTCTAAGATACTAGCAAGGGGTCACGCTACACACGTGCAAGTGTGGCTCTCGCAGCTTTTCCTGTGATTCAACGTCTTTGTCAGCACAGAAACAACTAGGTAATTTCACTGCATTAAGCAATGGGAATAGTTTCTAAAAGCTACTAATACTTGTGATATGAGGGAAAAAATGCTTTCTTTTTACTGTGTATTCATTTTCACTTCTGAACAAGTATAAACAAACTACCAAGATGCTCATAAATGCTAAATGCTCCTGCTTATATTGTAAAAAGTTTAACTACAGTTGTATTTTGTTTATTTCTACATCTTTTTGTGGGTGTGGAGGGAAGAAGGATAAGAAAAAGGTAGGTTCTAACATGATATTTCTTGAAACATTAGATTCTCTCACTCCTCTAGTACAGAAGTAGAAAATGCTATTTTTTGTTGTTGTTGCATTTCTCCCCTCAGCGAGTCCTTGATAGAATCAGTCTCTTCCTTCCTTTCTAAATAAAGTTGATTAAGAAACAGTGTTTCTAAAAAGAAAGTTTTATTTAAGGTGGCCATTTAACTGAAAGCCCAACTATATTTTCAGTTTCTCTCATTTTCTTCCTAGTATTCTGTGTCTTTAAAGGCATTTCTTAGTACGGACTGGAGGTAACGATAGCAAAGCCCCATTTATGCAAGGAAGTGGGGCTGACAAGGCTGTTTAACAGATGGTCTACACCTAAGTCTTTACCACTGATGCAATTAAGTAATTACTGGGGATGATTAAAAAACCCAAAAAACAACAGTTAAGGCTACTGTAGAAGAGGGATACTAGTAAGATTCCCATCATCCATATCAAACACCTTGTACACACCTTTTATGGCCAGGCCTTCAGTTCTTCTAGTCTTACTAACATGACATGTTAAGTTGCTTTGCATCTATGCCTCTAGTCGTCTGACATTTGGGATCTGATATCTTCTTTTTTTTTCGCTTGGTTAGACAAGTTTTGTAAATTAACACTGTCTTAAAGTATTTAAAGTGGAGAACTTTATAGCTGGCCTTTAGCTCTAGAATGTCCTTGTTCTCTTTATGTTAAACGAGTGGATTTCTGAAAAAGGTAGCCATAGCGGTAAGGAGAAAGCGAACAGCTACTGTGAGCACAGGTGCTGAATGATGACAGCGTATCTACAGAGACAGTGCCAAAACACATGTGATATATTTTCAAAAAAAACTAGCCTGCCCTTCCAAACTGGGACAACTCCAAGAAACAAGGCTCTAAACTACATTTATGCAACTTGGATACAGTATTATGACTTTCATTGAAACATGCCAACAAGACAATCAGAAAAGGCTTCAAATTAGTCTAATTTGCCCATAGACTTTGTTTTTGTCATAAAAGAGGGCTTGAGGATTAACTCCTACACATTGACACCTTACCTACAAGGAATTAAAGTACTTGAACTGTGTAACTACAAATTTACAGCTGATACCATTAGTTTTAAATAAGTTGTTGCTTCGCACTCAAAAACAGACTCAATTTTGATGATACAGATTTACTTCTGTGAAAAGGAGTGTGGTCTAAACAAGACAAAACAACCCTCCCACACCTGCTTTGTAGTCTACTGTAGATTATATCCCAGCATTAAAATATTATATCCACTTACCATCATCTAGTGTGATGTCTTGTAGTCCTATTGTTTGAAAATTCAATTCTCTCTCTTCAGGTTCTGGTTTAATGTTAATAGCTGCCCCATCTGGTGAAAATGGAGATGAATCGCATACGGTATGGTGTACTAGGGATGGTGCTGCATTAAGACCTCGCAATGCTGGACTATGTGCTTGAGGGGAATGCTGTCCCGAGTGAGTTACAGTGGTTGGTGGGGGAGATGAGGCAGGTCCTGAGCTAGGAGATTGATAAGGCATAGGTTGTAGCTGGGGTGAAGAAGGTCCAGACAGGGGTGAATGGACCAAAGGGTGGGAAGCTGTTGGGGATGAGGATGAAGCAGATGCTTGATTCGTAGAATGGTATGGGACTTGCTGCAGCTGGGGAGAAGACTGCCCAAGGGACCGACTCATTGCAGAAGGGATGGAGCCCTGCCCAGCGCTTGGGCAGTGGTATCCCATTGACGGCAGGTGAGAAGATGACTGTCCTGAATGAGCGGGGTGTGCTAGCGGGTGCCCTGCTGTACTTGATGTTGACACAGAACCTGGATTTGAAGAATGAAACTGCATTGGTGGTAGAGCTTGGCAGCTAAGATTTATCAAATGAGGTACAGCTGTGTCTTGCTGAAATGAAATAGCATCAAATCCTTGGCTGGAGGCAGAGTTCATAGGAAGACCAGACTGTCCATTGTATACATCGTTGGACTGCAGAGGCTGGTAAGAAGGCCTCACAGGAGGTGCTGATGTTACCTGAAAAGACTGAACCACAGCAGGAGGCAAAACATGACACTCTTCACTTGGACTGAGGTTTCTACCTTGCATATGTGGCAGGTGGGATACTGCTGAAGTGACCATTGCTGGGTATGGCGGTTGAACTGGACACACAAGGCTCCTGGGTGAAGTAGACAGTAAATTGTCATGTGGATGCCCTTGCTCTGGTGAAGGCAATTGAGTTCGGATAGAATGCAGGCCCTGGACATTGCTTGTGTGAGGCAGGGCCAAAGATGGAACAGCAGACAAATCCACCTCATCTCTGTGCTCTTGCTTCATTATAACTAGAAAAAGGAAAATACTATTACAATTTCAACCCATTTGTATCCTGGGATAAATGCATGCCAACTGCTGTTTAACAGCCACAACAGTGTTGGTAATGTCCTTGCTCTAATTTCCCTTATTTTGCTCTGCTGTGTGTTGTTTTTTTTTTTTTTTCTCTTCACCTTATGCCTGCTATATTAGCCCTTAAAAGCCAGAAGAACTCTCCTAGCATTTATTCAAAAAGTTATCTTTCCTTCTAAAATAACCTCCTGTGCAATCTATGTTTTGAAGGCATTTGCAACCCCAGACAAAGTCCAGTACATCTAAAGGATACAGCTCAGAGGTGCAGGGTGGGGGATGCTGCTGGGCTCCACTGAAACTAGGCAGACGAGAGTTTAGTATCTGGCACTTGGAAAAGGAGAATGAAGATTTTAGCTGGCTTCAAGCTTTCCTTAGCCTCTGAGCAAGATGACAGCTGAACTGTGACACAGTTAAACTCGTTTGAGTAGTGCATGTTGTTTTAATTACAGGAGCTCTTTCAGCACATCCCCCGATTTCAGTGATGGCAACAAGTGTTCTTATAATACAGGGAGTTACAAATTGACACACTTTTGGCTACAGGATTTTTTTTTTTTTAAGCTAGTGATGGGCTAAGGAAAATATACTGATTTATTTTAAGTACAAATAGTAGAAAAATGCTACTGCTTTTAAATACTCAATTCCTACTTTATACAATACACTGTTAAAGAAACCGTTATATATATTTATAGATAAAATGGATTTTAAAACATTTGTGCAATAACAGCTGCAGTTATAATTAAAGTTGCTTCTTATTTAAGCAGTGTCAGTACTTCACCATTTAAATAATTTAAATTTGGATTTCCCAAACAAAAAATATAGTTTAAGATGTGTCTTGTAACTATCTTCAGAGCTGATATTCTTAAGAACGGCTGAAAGACACCACATAAATCTGATAACACAATTACTATATACTTAGTGTACGAGGTAACATTGCTTAATTGCACATGAAGGTATGAGGTAGATAATTTTAGAGCACAAGTAAGCAAAACTTATTTTAAATAGTGTAAACTAATGGTAGTTGGCTTTGTCAGCATATGTGTTAGCTTTAAAGTTAATATTAATATCCATATTGGACTTTAAAGACTCCTTCAGATACCCGACGTCAAGTCCTCCGAACAGTGCTGAAGGGTCTAGTGCCGTCACTGGTACCTTGTGATGGCACTTGTGACTAGTCTAGATGGGTATGAATTTCTTAAAAGAAATGAAATTAAGTGGCAGGCAAAGGAGTAGGCATAGTATCCACTATTAACCGCTTCCTCATACCAAATGGAAGGGATTAAGATGTTTTAACTACGGGTAGTTAGGTTGTACAGTTTTCGCTTCTGTCTAAGTTACAAACTCTTTTCTCTCAACATGCTGCAATGCATCTGGAGGGGAGGGGAGATTTTTTTTTTATCTGCCTTGTATCTAAACCCCGGGGGTTTTTTGACATTTGAGGGGGGGATGCGTAAAACCTGTTTGTCTATGATCTCACTATCTTCTATGTCATCAACAGGGTTATTTAGAATAGCTTTTTATAGAAGCTATTCTAAATAATGGAATATTTAGCTTTTTTCACCATCATTTTCAAAAAAAAGTAGAATGCAAATTATTCTGTAAAAAGTGTAACGAAGGAAATACCTGGCTGTAATTATAGCACCATAGCTTACTAGTCTAAATTTCAGCTTTTTAATTAGACAAGCTTAAGTAAGTTGTTTTATAAACAACTCAAAGCAAGTCTTACCTACATGTCAAAGGTACAAGACTGTCTGAATTACTTTCAAATGTTTGCTTTAAAAAAAAAGACAACACAAACTTTTAATTTTTTATTTAATACCTGGTGTATAAGTAAAACGTTGAGACTGGCTTTTTTTCCTCTTGCCATTGCAGAGATAAAACTGCACCTGAACTGCAGCTGTAATGGTTTTGTTATGGTATGGAGGAACTTCAAGTATGATGTTTACCTATATGAAAGTTGAAACAAGAGTTTCACAGATCAAATGCAAGTGAAACTGCTCTTAATTACAGAAAAATTAAAACACTTATGGCAAAACTAAAGCAAACTGATATTATTATGAAATTGTTGAACTTCAAGTTTATGTATATTACATAGTAAAACAGTACTGTAAGCAAACTTTTACTTGGAGACTTTTTCTTCTTTTAAACAATAGTATTCTGAAGGTAATGCTTTTAATTAAATAAACACATCATCTAAAGGATGCTTTGTTTATTTGCCAGAGCATAAAAATATTCTAGCAGTCAAAGAATTGCATTTTGGATCATTAAGCTTTTAAGGAAAATTTTAATGCACTGGAAATTATTTGTCATCTTAGCAAAACTAACTTCAGTTTTCTTTTTGCCATTTTCTATTTATTTTTTTCATTGCTTTCACAAGCATACTATTTCCAGTTCCTTCAAAGCATCATCTTAATGGCTACTTTATAGTATTAAGCCAATTTAGAAGTCTCCAGCTGTCTGTCTGAATCAGCCACTGATCTCCTTACTTTACTAAACTTTCAGAACAGTGAAGATGCCTAGTTCTCATTTTAAAACAGAAGCTTTCTAAAGTAAGAAAAATTTTTTCTCACCCCTTGACACTTTTCCCTAATTATTTTCCCTTCTACCTCCCACTGAGGTCGTCCATCTGTTGAGAGAAATTTACAAATAATTCAAGCAAAAAGCATTTTTAAAAACACTTAAATACTTAATCTTAAAAATACTTAAATACATAATATAAAACTGCATTTGTTTTCAGTCATGAAGAGGCCATTCAACTGACACATGATATACTGCAAACAAAGCGTGACATATAGAGATGCTTTAGGAGTTCCAACACTACAAACATAATGAATGTTGTGCACGATGCTGCATTTTAACAGAACATGCTGATTACATACAGTTAGATCTAATTCCAAAGAAGGCAGTGTGTACTCTAAGTATACAGAATGAGTTTTTTCCCCCATTTTTCTAAAAATATTTTTGAAAGGTAGTTAAACTACTACTTAACACTTCTGATTATTCGAACGTGCTGATGACTTATAGGTTAAGTCACCACGTAAGAGATAACATATGCCATATCTTCATGCACGTACCCACAGGTTATGCATTTAAAACACACACCTTCCCCTGAACCAAAAGATCCCATAGTTCAAATACCAGGCAAGCTATCTGTGTTGTGAGGGAAGTAAACCACCTTGGTGAACCTCTCTCTGCTCTGACCTACCATAACCCATTACCCTTAATCTAACACTCAGCACTCTGCTATTGAGGTTTGTACAGGTTAGCAGAGAACCTAGTACCTAGCAGCAGTACTTCTTTAACAAGCTTTCAAGTTGCGCGTCAAGTTGTGTGTCAAAACATAACACACCCTCACACTCTTATGTTGCATTTGCTAGTAAAAAACTACCCAACTCTTTTACTTTCATATTTCAAACCAGGTATTCAAGTCACAGCAATGATAACTTAAGTTGTTCAAATTTTATGCTCTCTACATTAAAGGGACAATCAGGGAAGAAAAGGAACTCTATGTTTTAAGACAGCTAGTCCTAAATTTTCAACTATTTTTCATGCATTTTAGACTAAGCAAGAAAAACTAAGATCAGGTGTATATCCAGGAGAGCTACAGAACCAGGAAGGAATCCTGAGTACCTGAACATCTTTGAGTAATATGTATGCATGTACCCCGGGGGTGTGTGTGTGCATGTGCACCTGTGTATAATACAAAACAAAACCAAAGAAAACTTGCAAACCATTTTTTACTTCTGTAAAGAAAGATGTTTCAGAAATATTCATCAGTATGCCAACCAGCATATAGATCAGTGACCAAACTGAAGTTTCAGATTACTGCTTATGACTTTTTTTTTTTTTTCCTTCATTTTTAAAACATCCTTACTTCCTAAAAGCAAGCTCAGGTAGTGTGTTTGGTTTTGTTTTCCAGAGGGAAAAAAAAAAGTATTTACCTTGTCCTTTTTCAAAAAATATAATTTTGGATTCTGGAAGAAAATTTGAACCTGTTACCACCATTTCATGGCCTCCATTTACAGAGCAACTATTGATGCTGTATTTCTCAATCTGAGGAAGTTCTTGAGCAGATCGCTGAGCTTTAAAACAAACAAACAAAAAATTATTATTCACAATTTTAATCATAGTGAGATTTCTTTTATAATCCTAATAAAGAATTGGGGTGAAACTAAAATGACCATCTATTTACATATATAAATCATATTTGTGTATGCTTTAGCTTTGTTTTTAAAACTATGTTGAAATTATATAATTATAGAAAAGAAACACCAAGAAGCCATGAATCCCACCAGTCTACTGTTACAGCAAATGAAAATTTTAGCTTAGGAAAATTGGTTTAAAAATTACTTTAGTATTTTATAGACAAAATGAATTCAGCTTAAGGTCATTTTTTGATTCCTTAGTGCCAGCATTGAACAACTGAACTCTAGAGGTGTTCATTACATTACACTGTATAAAGCCAAGTAATGGTATAGGCTCTTGTAACTGAAATGGTGTTAGTTCTTCCTAACATGAATATTTATTTTCACTGAGATATATCAGCTGCCTCTGCTGATATACAGGAGGTACTGAAGCTGCTAGCTGTCTGACTGCGGTATAAAGCTTAAAGCCTAAAACATTGTTTTTCCTCCAGACCTTCATGCTGCCACTTGGTAAGTACCATCTTTAAATAGAGATACATTAATTTTTCGTAATTTAGCTTGTTACGCACACTTGTTATATATAATTCTGACAATAAATGTTGTCAGAGTGACAATACTCCTGACACACGCAGAAAACATGAGTAGAAATTATGTACAGTTAAAGCAATCTTACAGCATTCAACAGGTATGGAAGCAGTCTGCAGAGATAAGACTTTTCCACTAGGTTGTGGGATGTGAACACGAAACACAAGTCGCACTCTGGTATTCTTTCTTCCAATATCTGTCTCTCCTTTACGGAGCTCTATATCTGAATTGCGAAGTTTCAAAATACCAGCACAATCAATACTGGAGATAGGTGAGGATGGATCAGAAAAGAAATGGAAGAAAATTAATCAAACTATTGCCAAAGTACACTTTGTAAGCCTTTCTTTTATTAAAGAATGAAGAGCATTCTATTTTCTCTCCATGTTACGCTATTTTAAATGTCTGAGATTAAAAATCTGTTAGTGTCAAGAATGGCAGCAAGTACTCTGAAACATTTGGTCTTGTAAATGTCTAGCTGCTGCTTTTTTGAACCTTTAAAAGATTATGTGTTATTGCACATTGTTTCACCTTTGAAGTATGTTATTTAACACAGTAAACATTTACAAGGAGCAGAAGACACATTTATTTCTGCCTTAGGAAGGACTAGAGAATGACAAAAGTGTAGCCATGAAGTCCCAGCTACCCTTCCACGTAGTTATCCATTACTCCCATGAGCCATGCTTACTTTAATCAAGTAACGCATATACCTAAGCTTGTGAGGAGCGTTATCTTGGCACATCACTGTGGGTTCATAGCATTCAATGGAACTACCATGAAGTCTGCAACCAGGAAAGTCTAAGCTGACTTCAGAAATCTACATAAGAAATAAATGTGCTACATAAACAAATAATTGTGCTTTACTTTGTTCACTAGCCCTCCAGCTAGAACAGAGCAGCTTAATTGTTCCTGTAACTAACCATTAAACTATTACATTCCATCTGGCAAGACCTGAAAAGTCAGAATAACTCAAATGCTTAATAAAAAAAAATCAAAACAAGGAAAACGCCTACCAAGATACCAGGAACTAAATCTCCACATTCAGTCAGGAAACAAGCAACTGCACTGTATGACTGTATTTTTATAGAAAAAAGTCTTATAAAATCAAACAAAATCTACCTGCCAGTAACCCACATGCAATTCCACAAATCCAGAGTCACATATATGTATGGATTGTATGGGGAAGTATAATCCCAGAAGCACTCATCTCTCTCCCTGTCAATCTTATGAGCTTCCCTGTCTCTCTCTACGCCTTTACTTCTGACTACCTAAATATTAGCATGTATAGAGAGATGTGTCTATCTTGATGATGAGCCATATTTGTGGAAAATATGCTCATCTACAAGAGTTTTCTTTCACCTTTGCACAAATGAAAAAAAAAAAGACACATAGCAGCTAAACAGCTAATTTAACAACAGCTGCGATGTACCTGGCTGACATATTATTTTCAGGAAGAAGTGGGATTTCCAAAACTTTTGTGCTGGCAATTATTATTTCTTGACTAGCTGTTGCAACTGTTTTTCCAGTGATTCGGTGCACCTGGTAGAACGCATGAGGTCTTAAGTAGCGATCATCTGCTGTTCCAATGAACATTTGTAGGTTTACTGGCTTTTCGCTGTAGCCCAGGAGCTGATGAAAAAGTAGATGTAATATTAACGTATTAGTAGACATGTACTGCATTTGTGTCTGCACAATGTAAATACACAACTAGTACAAAGTCTGAAGAGTCAAAGAGTAGTACTTAATTACAAACTTCTTCAATCTCTTTGGAACTCAGAAAACCGAGTACAGGTATCTGTCCCCCAATACGAGTATCAGCAACAACATATACCAGAACACATGCATATCAAAATATCTTTATTACTTTTGAATCCCTCAAAGAGAAAAGAGTTGTTTTATCTACACAATTTCTACATCAAAGCTATGCTATGTCATAGCTGCATTTCTGATATTTTTAATCACAGTCAAATTATCAATTTTACTAAGATACACCTAGTTTCTAGAAATACTAAAAATATTTTAGAGTTTAGTTTTTCTACTATGGAATGCAATAGTGAGTTTTATTAAACTTGAATTTCCATTCACAAAACCTCTTGTGTTAGGACGAAGAATATTTATTTCATAGTGAGAAAATCAAGTATGGTTTATTTTTGGAAAAGAAGATGTTTTAAGAACCAAAACTTGATAAATGTTAATTCATGCATCTTTTGTTTTCTTAAATATGAGACTAACCACTAATGCACTTAGTTGTCATAAAACCACCAGTTGCTTGAGCTAACAGTAGTAATTCTAGGCATAAACCGCACTGAAACATCAGAAAAAAAGCATTAAATGAACTCTGAAAGAAAGTTAGTTTTGCGATAGTACGTTGGTAATGTATTATCCAGAAGACTTAAGGAAACAAATTTAACAAACAGTAACATGAAGCCTTCCTTTAGCCACTGCAATTTTAAATCTGAAGCCTAGAAAATATGTCTTATAAATCCATGAAGCCTACTTCACTTTCCTGCAATTGGCAGACTGATGTACAGTGCAAGTTATATAATTTCTAAAAAGCAATGCAGCAAATTTACATTTCATCAACTTATGTTCAAACTGGAGGGAGACCCAGACAGTCATTCTTTAAATGCAGTTTTGTCATGTCAATATTTCTGTCTCTAGGGAGAGTTATTTGGTCACACAACAATATTATCCAAGCTTTTTACAGAACTAAGACTTAAAAAACCAAACAAAACCACGTCAATTTAACCTACTTACTTACAAGAGTAATTAATGCCAGTAGTCAGCAGCACACTCACACCCAGAAACCAGGGAGCACCACTGTAGCTTCCTTGTATCTTGATGCACTACTACTGGCAGCAAGTTTTATGTACACCCAATCAATGCCTGTTTTCTATACTTGAATCACAGCTGTGGCTGCACCCAGCAGTCCTGTCACTTTTGTAAGACCTTTCTCAATCAAGAACAGAAATTTTGTTCCAACAGAAGTCTGGAATTTTAAAGAGCCATTTTCAAAGCTTTCAGCCTTACACGAATGCTTCCGTCCAAGATGTAATACATTAATTAATCCATCTAGATACAACAGCGCGGTCGTATTTTAGTTAGCATTCTTCCCATTTGCCTAATGCCTTTTAACATGATCGAGAAGCAGAACAGCCAAAATCTAGACCACCTCAGACAAATAAAACTGAGCTTACTCAAACACAAAACAACCACTGAGGCGTGTTCTTCACCTCTTCCTGCCCAGCACACACACAATCTAAAATAGTTTGAGACATACTGCAGATAAAAATCTATGGCTAAGCTACAGGATAACTGTTACTGAGCAACAACACACACACCCCCTGAGCAGCTGACACAAAAGCTCAATAGATCCAATACGTTATTTGTTACAATCACTATGAGCTTGCTCTCAGAAAATGCCCTCTCGCCTTTTTTTTTTTTTTTTTTTAACTGAATGGAGAGGCAAGAAAGGAAACAGTTCAGATTTACTGGTTCTATTACTACTTCTCTGGGCTGGGAAATCTCTAGATGATTACTGCAGTAAGGAAACTGGGCTTCTTTTTATGGTTGTAGACACAGAATTCTGTTGTCCTCAAGTCTCCTTGTACCTTTCTTGAGACATGTACAACATCTCCCAGGTGTCATGCCTCTAAGACGCCAGTCCAGTTCAACTTTTACCAGAAGACGTAGGCTACCTTTGTACTGCATCGTACATAGGCTACAAATGAGCTTCTGCTAAAGCACACTGGTTCCTGTCCTCAAACTCAATGGATTCTCATCTGTCTCCCCACTTGACTCCAGCTACCATCGAGAATTCATGTGTGCACAGGCAAGCAGAACAAATCAACTTAGTGTTAAATTACAAAGTCACATCTCCTCATGGGTTTAACAATCCTTACCACTTCAGACTCATTATAATGAAGGAAGAATATCTGCCACAATTATAAGTCATGGCAGCTTCTATCCAATACAGTGTCCTGTCCTATAATTGACATATTTCAAACTAATTTCTTAGGTGATCTCATTTATTTGCATTTATATATGTATGTCTATTATTCGCAGGCTTTTTGTTCTGTGAAATATATAAAAATCTTTTCATTCTCTCTGGAGTTCTCATTACAAAGAGCTAAATCCAGCAAAAAACCCCAACCAACCAAATAAGAAACCAAACCAATTAAAAAAACCCTCGTCCATTGAGTGGAGACAGAGTTGCTGCCCATGTAAATAAATGTGATATTCAAGCATTCGCAAATGTTACAGTGGAGACAAAGAACCTCCTGTGACCATCAGTGTACTGACAGGTTTCTTTCCCTTTATCTGTTGGAAGTCACCTGTAAACTACAGGAATACAACTGGACCACACACCTTACTCTTAGTTATTGTCATGTTGATAGTGGAGCACAGGGACTCTTACATCCATTAAATACAAAACCACACTAAGTTCCTTTTTATACTCGATGAAGGACTCCAACATCTTTCCAAAAGATTTTTTTTCCCCAATACCAAATTAATATTTTCATATTTTCTGAGTCTGAATTATTTTAGAGTCTAAAGAAAATTTAAGGACAGGTATTAGTTTAGCATTTACAGCAGCCATCTTATCCCAAGTTCTCAACATTGTGACTCCACCATCCATTTTCCTCAGAGTTAAAATTAAATCTTAACACAATGGAATACAGCCTAAACGTGACATTCATTAAATGCGTTCACTCTAATACTGGGAATTACATAAATTACAAGCCAGATCTATTCAAAAATTTGAATAGCTTCCAAATGGGGTCACTGTGACAAAGCTAAATTTCCAATTAAAGCTATCTTCCCCTTCCTTAACAATGGAGATGTACACAACAGTTCTAGAGATACTAGTGATATAAGAGGGAGGACGGGAGAAAGAGAGATAAAACTAAGCTGGTCTGTCTACAGTCAGGGGAGAAATTGTCCTCTACAGAAGCGTACACAGGGCAGGAGCTTAATTTAGTGAAGCAAAATATACCCCGTGCCAGCAGATGCAGTGGTATTGCCTAGGAGGCTCTATTACTACCTTTGAATGGCTCAAAGCCGTGTCTAACCCTAGTTTTGCTTCCGTTACTCTTGAGCAAAGTTTACCCTCTATGCTCGCCCAGATATGCTGTTATGGAAGATGTGTAAGGCCTGGTTTCTGCAAAGCACATTGTGGGAGTGGAAAGCAGTGGGAAAGTCTGACAAAAAATGCCCACTCCACCACCAGCTTGTATATCAATAGGTCATCAAGCGCATTTTCCATATGATGCTCTTGTGAGACAAGTCTGCGTGCTTGTTTGTCAGCTGTCTCACATCTCTACAGTACATTAGCTATACCAAAGTAGAAATGTGAAACTATGGTACTACAGCTTCAGAAGAAATAATAAATATCCCACAACAAGACCCCACACAGTAGTACCACCTTCAGTCACTTTTCTTCTGGTTTATATATTAAATGAAATGAAAACAAACAAGAAATCCAATGTCCCAAGGGAATTACAAGGAAAAATATTATAATGCAACAGAATACAGTTTTATAGTAATTTAGAGGAAACCTATGCATGTTACAATAAAGAACCATACAAATAAGGCATCTCATAATCAAAAATGGTCTGTAATACCATCAGGACAAATCACTGAAAATTTTGTACCTACTTAAAAGCCATGCTAATGTAAACCAGCCTCAAAACAAACACGCAAGCCCACAAGCTCCACCCCAGATGATGTCAATCAGATGCTTACATCTGATAGCTTTGCCTCAAATAAATTGCTGTAAAGGATCTGCAATGAAGTCCTGTTAAGAGTACTGGAATGTGTATATGTATGGTTAGGCAGAATAGTAACAGAATGGCAAGGTAGTAGAGACTGCATAAATTTACACTTTGCATTACAGATGCTTTATTGCATTTATTCAAGGTTTAAAATAAAATAAAAAAAAGAGAACAGCATAAAAGAAGAACATTGTAAAGCCATAAATATAACCAATGTGTGCAAGAAAGTGTGGCAATTAAGTAAGCTGGGGGCAGGGCAGGGAAGAGAAGACTAACCCCTGTCTCTCATATTACAAAGTGTAGTTCAGGGCCTGATCACAGTAACAGGCGCACATAAAAAGGGACCATAACACACTCTTAAGCAAGCAATGAGGAGGCTGCACAGCGTCCTTGTGTTTCCACATTTACTGCAAAAAAGACAGTAAGCTTAATAGGCTATGGATGCTAATGAGACAGCCTTATGCACCAGCTAAAACTCTGAAGCAGCTGGAGAGATTGTCAAAACCAACACATCGATAAAAACAACCCCAAACAACCGACAAAAAACCCAACCTTTATTACACAAATTTATGATTTAGAATTAGCATTTTCCCCTTAAATCTTGTCTAAGAAGTGAGCTGACATCTCTAGGCATGACATGGATTCTGCAAGAGGAAAACTGAAAATTTACAGTGTCTGTAATCAAAGAGAAGAGTCTGGGGGGGGGCCATGAGCCAAGGGGTAGGCAGAAATGATCCGACAGTTCATGGAGAGGATGCCTGCACATCCCATGTAATTTCTATTACATAATCATTCAAAGCCTTCAGTGAAACCAGCCCGCTGTGCCTAGCGCCACATAATTACAGACGA